CTGACCTATGGTCTGAGCTGGTAGGCAGTATGGAAAAGATTCACCGTCATGTGTCTCCGGTAAAATCCTAAGAGCTTAGACCTGTGAAGGAACCTTGTCAACCAAAGGAAGGGAATGAATCTTTTGGCTGTACTGCTCATTTTTATTTCAGCAAGAATGGCTTTGATGAAACTGAGGCTTGAAACAAACTGTAGAAAGAATGCTAAATCTTACGGTGAAGATGTGCTCTTACTAGAATGGTCCAGGGAAGAATGTCTTCTTTCCAGGCTGTCCTTGGCATTTTCCAAAGTCGTGTAGCACATGGCACAAGTAGGCAGCTTGGCTATATACAGTTCTGAGCAACACCACCACCACCCTGTTATTTGCCAAAGCAAGGTGCCTTACTAGGGATAAGACTTATCTGTCAGGATGAGCTTAATGGGTCAGACAGAACTACAAAGAAACCTTTGAGTTGGAAGAGCTTTTCTCTTTTCTCTTCTCCCTCCAAGGTGGTTATACTGTGAAACAGGCCCCAAACTCTGACAGTCTGTCTTGTCGCACACTTGAGGGCTTTCTAGTTGGGAAAACTAGGAACGGAATTCCATAATGGAGACTATTCTGGCCACATAATAGTGGTGTTGAGTAGGATGGGTATGGAAGCGATTACCACGTTGCAGAGAGCGCAGCCTGGCCCCCTCGCTGGGATTCTCCCTTTCCCTCTGTGTTGGGGAGAGGCCTGATCTCAAAAGCAACTGTTGTGATTGAAATTTCATGTTAAATGTTAGAGGTAGCGGGGAAAGGAGGCAAAGTTGCAGCAGCTTGGAAGGTATCCTGAAAATCTGTGCAGATTCACTAGGCTAGCATGGGAAAGGCAGGAAGCCACCTTGCCTTGCCTGAGAGGAAAGGCAGCAAACTGCAGGCATGCAAATCTCTCTTTCCCAGTGCTGTCGATTGCCTGCACAAGTGTTTCAAATTGCAAAGAAAGCAGTGGGCTGGCATGGCTTTTTTGTTGTTAATTCTGAAAAATGTAATTTTAGGCACCTTCTGACGAGGTGAGCACTTATGTTCACTTACTCAGTGAAGTTTGAAAACCAAAATGGAATCGGAGGTGACTGTGGTCTGGCTCTCTCTGTTCCTCAGTTGTTCTAGAATGCAAGAGTAGCTAAAAATAGAAGTACTCTTTCCTCTGAGAAATGGGCTGCTTGGCCTCTGCCCCAGAGGTGGGTGCACTTCACTGGCATTTTAGATTGGTTCACAAAG